CTACTTTTTTCCAGTCCTCAAGTGACTAATTTCGTTGTTCCTGGGCCCACAACAGGCGCCTTTTCCTATTTTTCTGTGATACCAATGGCACTCTTGATAGTTTACTGATGCTAAAGCCCATCCTTTGCAAAGTGTGTTTTGTTGTATGTTGGGATATGCTTTGTGATGCACCTGCATTAAATTCAGCTATAATTTGTCATGTTGTTGTCCTTCTGTTGCTACAGACTATGCGTGCTAATCACCTTTCACCGCTCTCATTCACCAGCCTTTTTCGACTAGAATTGTTCTTATTGCTTGAAGTTTTTTCTCAACTACCACTCTCTAAACACCCGAGATACTTTTGGGCGAGAAAATCTTAAAAGAGTCGTCGTTTCAGAGATGCTGACATTAGCTCTTCTTGCATTGACGATCATTCCTCTTTTAAAGTCACTTAAATCTTTCGTCTTACCCATTTTGACATTAACTTCCATGATAACTACGTTGTTTGAAGCTGAGCATACCTTGCATAAGCAACTCTGCATTGTTATGCCACTCTACATCATTGTTGGACTGATTTACAGTGGTACCTCAGGATATGAATGCCCCAGCATACGAAATTTTCAGGATACGACATGAAATTCGAACATATTTTTGCTCCACGATACGAATAAAAACTCGCCATACGACGTTACATTAGTTCGCAGCGCCATTTTTTATTCACTTCTGTTCATTGGTCTCAGTTCGCGAGTTTGCTTCGTCGTGGAAGGATCTCGCTCGATAAAGGAAATCTTGAGGTATTATCAGAAAGTGACTGATTTTATTGAAAAGAAACATCCCGAAAAGGTTCACACTGGCCGTATTGCTGCTCGGAGTAATGACATTTGCCTAAGTCATTTTAGAAACATTTTAAAAAGTAGGCAAAGCCAAACCTCTTTGGATAGATATTTTACCAAGCGACCTCCATCCAGTGAAAGTGCTGGTTGAAGTGAAGGAAAGAAAGCGAAAAGAAGTGAATAAAAGTTTTAAAAAATATATATAAAACAACACTAATTTTTTTAATCTTTTCTAAGTTATTTTTAAGTTATTGTTACATTATCTTATGTAAGTTAAGTTTTAGTATCATTTCCCTTCTCCCTCTCCTCCACCACCAGTTTATACCTCCACCGTCGTCTATCCTCAAAGGTAAAGGTGCAAATAAAACTACACTTTTTTAATAAATTATTATTCTATTATGGTTATTTATACATTTACAACTGAAAAACGCATTTTTCAGTGTTTTTCGTACTAAAGTTTTTTTAATGTACTTAGCTTTAATTTGAGTGTGTTTTTCGTGTTGGAACGAATTATTTGGTTTTACATGTAATCGTATGGGAAAAAATGATTCACCTTACGACATTTTCATGATACGATCTCAGTTTCGGAATGGATTAATTTCGTATCCTGAGTACGAAATTACGAAATTCGGTACCACTGTACTTAAAAATAAGGGGTGTCTCTAATTTTTTGGCCACTCAGTATATTAAGTTTTTGAACTCATTCTTCAAACAAATTATTTTTATCCAAATATTATTAAAGAGAAATCCAAACCCTCTCTCTGAACTTCTAAATGGCCCTGCTTCCGAGGGAGAGGGAGAACCCGACGAGATGCAGGTTTGCAACCGCCACAATACTATGTAAGTAAAAATAAAATCATAGTATAATATTATCAGAGTACTTCAAAAGTAGTATTCCCATAAGCTTATAAAAATGTTCGCAGAGGCTTATGTTATTGGGAGATTTTTGAAGGTTTAGCATTGTCTGTATGATGCAGTCGAAAGCATTATGTACAGCCGACAAAGTTGCAGAAGAAACTGCATCATTGAGCCCAGGGAATCAGGATGGTCATTCTGCTGAACTGCTTGCCATCTGGACTGTTTTGATCTGATGTGAAAAAGCGTTGAGATGGTTACGTCGGGGCATTTGCATGAGAGTAGGCACTCAATTTTTCAATAGCTTTTTGATGATATTAAATTTGCTTTATTTTCATTTTTCATTTAAAGTAATTTTGATAATGTTATGATACAATATTCATTATAGATGGCTGGATGGCCAAGACAGTTAAACTACAACTACTCTGGAGGATCCAGAATCTAATTCAGGCGAGCAATCTCGAATCTCGAAGGAATTTTTTATAGGTGGCCCATCACGATATATCAGGTTGTCCCTCGTCATCCAGTTGCCTTCATCATTGGCCTGGCAGAACCCATGATAGCATGGGAAAAAAGCTCTCTTAGTGTCTGTAAGACAGAGAGCAGTGGCAGAACAATAATGGCGCAAAGTGGTTTGGCTGAACGGAGACCTGAATGTATCAAGAAAAAGCTTACAACTCACAATCAAAACAATTGTTTAATCGTGGTTGGGTTTCTTTTTCTCAGTCAAGAGCTAAAGGCTTTTTTGGGGAAGTAAGTCCTATCCTTTGTAATAGGATAAAGTTGGAGGGGTCCACATTAAAATTTCAAATCATAACTCCAAATGAAGTTGTGCCACCTATGAGAGAGAGTAAAAAGAAAAAAACTGAAAACTGTTATCTTACAATAACAATGAAATTTATTTTAAAATGCAGACATGGTTTCTGATGCATTAAGCATTCAGATTCAGAAGTTTTATGCACTGCACTGAAATGTGCTGTTTGATTTTTGTTTGTTAATATTGCAATTATGTTTCTCCAAAAATCTCCTATGTAGGAAACTGAGCATTTTTTGTGATAAATCATCATTAATGACGTGTTGCTCGAGTCAGACTCAAGCATGGACAAATAGCGGTAATCATTTCTTCTTCAATATTAATTTGAAGGTCATCATCATTTTCATTTTCAGGTTGCTCGCTTAAAACATTTCTAATGCAGATACTAAGATCTCTTTCCACAGTTCCATTAATAAGCTCGGGTTAAATACCCATCCCAACATACAAAGAGGATGCACAAAATGCAGAATTTTGAATCTTTTATTGAATTGGAGTTCAATAATTATCATAAACACGTTCTATAAATGGAACATTTATTTTGAAAGTGGTGTAAGTACATTTTTTCTTCTTCAAGATATTCAAACATTTTCATTTTAGTTGATTCAAAAATATAAATAAAGTGTACTAAGTTTGACAATGTTTCTATGACTTTAGAAATATGTAAGTTGATTGCATAAAGAATTCTATGTGAATTTAACTAAACTAATATATTCTTTCTGGGCCTTAAATGGACTTATAGTTCAATAATTATGAAAGTGGTGTAAAATTCATTAAATTTTTATTATGTAAAACTCAATTTCACTTGAAACACATTGTATTTTGTTCTGATTTTGTTTCTGTATAACAAGAAATAAAATATTGCTGTTTATTCTGAACATTAAAAATATTTACTTATTGTTAAACTATTTTGTGATAAGTTTATCATTATTATCAGCTTACTATTAGACACTGCTTTTCATTTAGGTTTATTACATGAATTTTTTTCCATTCCATCAAATTGTACATTTGTTGGTAATATTCATAGTTTTACTCCTCTGTTGTATGGGGTTGTCCATAAATAAAGTCCACACTAGAAGGGAGGAAGGGAGTTAAGACAAGTTGGACAAAGGGGGTTGAGCATTAGTAGACATCCATTTATTTCATTAAATTTTATAGAGTTTATGCATTTTATTATATTTATTCCAAAGTTTCTTGTATGTTTCATTTCTACTTATGGTATCTATCATTCATAAAGTGATGAAGGTTTTAATAGGGGTTGAGTTATGTTGGACATCCAAAGAGAGGAAGGGGTTACAAAAACTTGGACAAACTGGACAAGAGGGGGAAGTAAAAGTTTCAAGGAAAATGCAGATGTAATTTATGGACAGCCCAAGTGCTTAATTACACTGCAGAAAATGGACTTATACCACTTTCATAATCAATGGTTATGCAAAGTCATTTACCAATAAATTTTTAATTGATCAAAGTGTATGGTTATTTTAAAATGCTAAGTGTGAATTGTTTACAAATAAAAAGTTTACACTAAATTGTATATAAATTATGTGATTTCTCAATTTTTTTCAAAAATGGACTTACCACTTTCAAAATAACAGTCCAAATAATAATAAACCATCCAATGATTGCATACCACCATCTTGTTGGTGAATAAATCACCGTAATCCTCAAATCCTTGAATAAAATCACCTGTTACATTTTAACTTCATTTCATCAAATATAAGTCCACATATTTACTTCTGTCACTTTTGGTACCAATTATCATAATTTCAGAATTATTTTCCAAATTATGATAATTGGGTTATTGTTAAAACCAGGTCTTTCCATCCTGGTTTTAGCAGAATATTTTTTGACCACGTCTTCTAACTACAAATACAGGGTAATGTGAGGTTATGACACAATACTCAGTAAGCACGAGAGCTGTGAAAGTACAAGTTTAAGTCTAATTTGTTACCAGTTAGATGCTGATGGTATTGTCTCTTAGTTGCATTTATCTATAATAAATTTAAATCATTTTACAATTTCAAAGGTCTTATATAGAGTGTGGCAAGTCTTTGTATTTTATAGATAAATGAATAGAGATTATTCTTCTATCTAAATCTAATAGTTGCCAGATCGTTGCAGAACTATTCAATAACCGGCATCCCTAATATACACTCATCATGCAAGAGTGAAGAATTATTCTTTATTCTTCCTCTACATAACCAACTCCATTGTGGACTGGATTAATCTGTAATGGACAAAATGGAGGCTAATGCCCTGTGAAGAACCAATAGATTATAGATCATGCTGCAAGCCTTGACACAAATATTACAACATTAACTTGCTCTCATCAGTAAGATATTATGTTTTAATCAATAATTACAGTTTATTGCTGGCTTCTGAATAATTTAAGGACTTTGTGGCTGTATTCAAACAATAATTTGAGTTACTATAGAAATGTTAAAAATATTTATGTATAAAATTTATAATTTCTGTGACTTCAAATAAAAAAAAAAAGTTTTTTAAGTTAACATTAAATCCAATTATTTTATTGCCTTTTCAGATATTTTACAAACAGGAACAAACTATACAATAATAGAAATATATAAAAAGTTTGTTTTATTAAATTGCATTTGGTCCGACACATACCCACCTACATAAAAACATTGGTCCTTTTTATTTATTTATACTGAGAAACCCTTCCCCAATAACCTTCTCTGTAATATATTAAACATAGACAGTATAATCGGCCTTATTTTCGGATGAACATAATAGTGATAGGCTATGGGAACCTGTGGAAGAGACGGATCGTCAGAGACAGTATTTATGTTTGGGATGCTATATTGGGACGTCTTATTAATGTACTCTTCAACTCTGTCTTTGGTCTGGTTTCCCACCTACAAATTTACAGCATTATATAAATAAATGTGAATATAACTTTGTTGATTATTACCTGTTGACCTTCGATGTAATGAACTAATAGGGAGGGGAAACTGCCTAATAATGCTGCTTGTCTCTTATGCTTCACATAAATTATAGTAAGTATTGGCAAAACAAATACCATACTTTTGAGTAAGGATTACTGTTTACTAATATTCTGTTCACTAACAGTTGCAATCTGATATTCTTAAATATTATATTTTCACTCACAAGTCAGACAGATGCCTTGTAACAAGTGAAACACAATACACAATGGTATTTTCTCAGAGTGGAAACATAGTATTTAAAAAAATCAACGAGTGTGTAAATTTTATGACAAAAGAATTTAAAATTGCTTGTGGTGCCATCTGTTATCAAATTTTATTAAATATTTTATTATTATTATTTATTATATAATGGCAAAAAGCTCAATTTTGAAGGTATAGACGAGTTTTATAAAAAGTTATAAATGCTCATAATAAGTAAAATCATTAAGTACAATTCAAGATATGGAACGTGACCCTCTTATTTCTGCACATTCCTTGATCTTTACTTACTAAAATTTAATAGCATCAATCTCCCTAATACAGAAATCTAACTGAAAAATTTTCAACTTATTAAGCTTTAAAGTAAAAAAATAAAATTGCACCCCTCAAACATAGACAAACATCTATACATTAAAAAATTCCCAATTTTTTTTTGCATTTCTCAACATTTCAAGGTCCATAAAATCGACAGTCAACAGTATATTTGTTTAAATATTAAATTTATTTAGTGTGAAGATATTCATAATAAAATTAAAAAATTCAAATAAACTCAATAGGAATCTTAAAATCTTACTTTAGAAGGAATATCGGCTGTTTGTTGTTTCGGAGTGATGCATAAAACACTTTGATATTCAGTTCCTTCGCAGGTTATTCCAGTTAGTAGAAACCTTTGTTGCACCGAATCATTTTCTTTATTTAATACTATTAAAGCCTAGAAAAAATTTTAAAAAGTATATCAATTTGAATAAGTTTTATAAAAATTCAAGTAATAGTTTATACTTCAACAAACAATGGAACAAAGTTTTTTAGTCGTTTTGGGCTTTCATTAACTTATTAATTCTAGCTAGTACTTTGCTATTAATTTTTATACATGGAAATTTAACAAAGCTATGCTCTAAAACAAAACAATTTTTATATATAAACAGAATTTGGTAACCTCGATTTTTTATTAAAGCCAGACAATCTTCCATATTTTGGGGCTATAATTAGATTAACTTAATAATTAGGTGTGAAGTAATTTGTCTAGAGGTAGGTTAAGCTGCCATCTCAAGATAACTATAATAAGTTAATTTTTAATTTTGAGTTTCTGGAATAAAAAGTAGGCTAGAGTGGGACTCGAACCAGCAGTTTCTGCATTATGGAGTTGTTGTTTATATATAAACAATATATAAACAACAACTCTATAATGCAGAAACTGTTGGTTCAAGTCCCACTCTAGCCTACTTTACTGAAATTTGAAATTCACTGGAAAAAAAAGAAGAAAATGGATATATAAAGAAGGAAATGGATATATATATCCATTTTCTTCTGTTTTTTCCAGTGAATTTCAAATTTTCCAGATATCCACAAATTTACATGTGCATGGTATATAAACCTGGTGGCCACATAAAATTTCAAATTTTCATAACTTCATAAGTTCATCTTTCAAAAAATGTTTTACAAATTTTTACTTTCCTGGGTATTATATATAACTGAGGAATAGTATGGCAATCGGTCGAACAATGACCCACCAAGATTTTTATATTTTTGGACTTAGGATGCTTTTAAACGTCGGAAAGTGCAAAAAAAATTTGATTTTGTTCACCCTGTTTGAAGCTTAATAACTCCTGTGCTTTTTATTAAAACTTTCTGAAATTTTGCAGGGAGGTTTGTTTATTGGGGATTGATGCTATTAAATTTTGGTGGTTGAGGGGTGGGAAATAATGGGGATTGTGTGAATCTCCAGTAAGGTCAGTCTTAAGGATGATATTATTTGTTACTAGCATTTATAATTTTTTATAAAACTGATCCCTACACTCAAAATTAAGCTTTTTGCCATGTTATAATAGTTAAAAATATAAAAAGTTTTTTTTAATAAATTATGATAACACATGGCACCACCAAAAGTTTAAATGTTGCAAGGAAAGTTGAGCAACACATTGCAGATTTATTTTACATAGAATCAGAATATACAATAAAAAGTGAAGGTTCCCTTTCAAAAAAATGAAGTTTACCCCATTTTCACTGATTCTAGCTCAATCTATGATGAAACTGATAGACTTCAAGGGGGGGTCACAAAATGGGACTAACATTTATGGTTCAATGATTTTTTAGGATGTGTATTTTTTAAGTTATTTCATTGGATTGATTAAAGTGGTCCACCCTGTGTATGTGTATCAGTGGCATGCCATCTTTGGAAGCCCCACTTCCCTTGTATTTTCTAAAATATAAATACATATTGCGCGATTATTTTCATATTTTAACGTACTTTGAATTAATTAAATTTAATATTTTATTATAACTGCATTATGTATTTTATTACAAATTTCTATACTACATGTGAAAAAACCAATAAGATTGCTATAGTATATTTGAATATCAGTGGTGGAATAGAAGCACTGTATTGTCGAAACCGGGTCAGCTTCCAAGCAGACAGTTTATATGCATTCGCGCATGTGCTTTACAAAGCACCAACCTCACCTATTTTAACTGATGGAAGCTACACACCAAAATATCGTATAACACTTCCAATGATTTTATCCAGGACCAGTTCTGGGCTGTCAGCCGCCTGCCTGCTTGATATTTGGCCCCCCTCGCCTGATTATGTGAATCATGAGTAGATTTATAATTTAACTCAACCATTAGGAGTTTACTAGTATGTTTTTATGATAGTTCTGTATAGTTGACAGGAGTTAAAAAAAATCCATTAAAATATTTGATATATTTATTCTGTTCTCCCATCTTATATTACTTACGGATTTCAATGTTAAACCAGTGATATTACGATTTTGTATGTCCCTCTATAAGAGAATGCAGAAAAAAACGTGTACAATTCTTGCACAATGTTAAAAAATTAACTGTTACTAAGTAACCATTTCAACTTATTTCTACTTAAGTAGTTAAATAATTAAGAGATTAGGGAATTAAGGGACATAAATAAAACCCTGCTGAAAGAGCCAGAATTTTACTTAAACAAAAGCTTAACTGAACCAATCCCTAGCCGAGTACAGTGGAGACTGATTTCTTTGTAATATTAGATGTAATAAAGACAGAAAATTTTCCAGTTCAATGAGAGTGACTGAAAAGTTGTAAATTTTGGAAATTTCCATGGACACCTGGTCCTAAAATGAATCAGTTAGAAAGCAAATGACAATTAAGTTTAACATATTTAGATTTTTACAGCTATGGTGAGAAATGTTTAAAATCTACAACAGCCTGTCATGTTCTTTGAGATATGCTAGTGAAGCGACAAAAGAGGCATTTCACATTGACCAGTATCGGCACCCTTGGGATTTGCATGCATGCAGACACTGCACACCTACCAAGATCATCTCTGATTCCATCCATGAGCAACTCATAGGGAGCAATTTTAACTAAGTGGATTGTTTTAATATTTAAAAAGTAAAGAATATTTTATGTTATTTTTATGTAGGTTTCTTCACAAAACTATATTTAATTATAATTTTCTTTAAAGTATATTCATACAATTGAATATTTTGTACCAGGTATGTATAATTGTATATCCATCACACATTTTATTTTAACAAGTAAGTTTTAATAATTTTATTTTTAATTTTAGCCCTTATATTATGGCTAGCAATTTAGAATGTAATTGTGATATTGAAAATTTATTTCAAAAAAGTTTTGGCTCAAGACCATATAATGAAAAAGAAAACATTATTAAAAGAGAAAGACCAATGCCTAAATTAAATATAAATACTTCAATAAAAAAATTTGTTTGAATTTTCACGATAAAATTTATGAAGAATTTATGGCTTTGTAGATGCATAGAAATGCAAAAATTGTTTTGTTGGCCTTGCCTACTATTTTCAAATAAAATTAGTGTGTGGAATAAGAATGACTTTGACGATTTAAATAATTTGAGTAAAGCTGGCAAAAGACACAAAAATCATAAACATCACATCAATTCTTTCGTAAAATTGAAGCAATTTGAAAATCAAAGCAGAATAGAATTTAACATTAGCAAAAATATAAAATAAATATTGAAAATTATAAAAGATAATTACAGCTAATAGATATATTATATCAAAATTAATAGATGTTATATGTTTTATCTCAAAGCAAGAATTGGCAGAGGGAATCTATTGAATCTAATAAGAGAAGTAATTATATTGAACTTGTTTATTTATTAAGTATGTCAGATAATCTATTAAAAATACATTTAAAAAAGTATATGGTTTTTTTACTGGCTTATCGAACAAACAAATACGAATGGATCCTGTAAGTTGGCTTCTTACAGAAACAAGCTTCCCTATCATCAAATTTCACAGCATGCCATTGGTATATATATATATAAATGGACGTGTGTGTTCCTATATTTCACTTTTCCACAAAAACTACACATCACACATGAATGCTGTTTGTATGTGGTGGTAGGGGGCCGCTAGGGGTCGTTGGACCGTTAGGACGTGCTGAACCGCTGCTCTGTTTTCGGTTGCCGAATCGGCATTCTATCTGCTTTATCGTGTGTTTTGTGTATTTATTTTTATCGTTGGTGTCGAATGGTTTATTTTAATATTTCATTTGTCAAAATTGGTGCGTAATTAACGATATTACGGCTATTTCTCTACAGCGTCCACGTGGTCCACTCCATGGTCCGCTTACGGCGCCTACTTTACGTTCTGTTCGCCATAGCGATTTTTCGTTTACTCTGTTGTGTAAACGAACGTTTATTTTCCCGTGTTGGACGATATATTACTTTACTATTTCTGCTTTTATAAGGGGTTATTTCATTTCATTCTCTTCGTCATCGCTTTTGGTCCAATTTTAGGCTATTGTCTAGCGGACTCGCTTCGTTTCTGACCACCATTTTCGGGTGGTTGTGAGTGGGCATTTTGCCGTATTTTTACTAAATTTCATTCGTCTACATCTATTTGTTCGTTAGTTACAGGGTCCGGTACTTAAGGGCTAAACAAAGGTCATTGTCCGTTCCTCCTCTCAAGCCATAACCCGATCCTACTCTATTCAACCCTAATTCGGGTTACTTTTACTTCATTTTCAGTTTGGGTGCATCGTTTGCACTACTTCCTTGATTTTTCTGTCTGATCATTAATTCTTATGATCTTTTGCTTTACCCCCCTCAGTCGTTAAGTGAGCGGATCAGTCGTAAAGCGAGCCATTGTTCTGTTTTGGACCTAGTGTCGGTTTTGATTTCGTTTCGTGCTTCTTATCGTTCCGTTCACCCTATCACCGTTCCTTAAGGTACGTTTTGCTGGGGTGCGACTTATTTATCATCTATTCTTACCATTATTTGACCTTGTGGTGTAATCGCATGGTTTGCCATTCATGATGGCACCTTCTGATTCTACCTCTCACTCAGATTTGCAGGCTATCTCACCAGAGGTACATTGCTACCCTGAATATACTATTCTTCGCGAGGCCAGCCTACACTTGGCGAGCATATTGGACCTGGTTCCAGAGTCCTGCCGCCCTAACTTAAAAATTGAGGAGAAAATGGAAGTTAGAGAGTGAGCTTCTCAACTGCACTCCTGTGTAGGTCAACTCTTTGGGATACTGCGCGAGGTACGCTCAAAGCAAGTATCCACTTCCAGCCCGAGTGAAAGAAGCAACGTACCGGTTCAGCTATCCTATGCTGATATATTAAGTAAAAACAATAACATCCGGCCAAGCAGCACAACCAAAGCAATTAATCAAACCCTCGGCAAGAAAATAAACAAAGAAGGCACGAGCAGCAGCCATGCTGTGCTCGTG